CCTTGTTTCTCTTAGGACATTGTCCTTAACACACAATACAATTCATGTTGCACAAAAGGGACTTGAGGAGTATCTGATGAATCAATGAATGAATGGAACTGCATCCAGTTTCAGGGATGGCTAGCAGGTATTGCAAGTGGAAGCTCAGGAATCCTGCAAAGTAGCTGAGATGTTGGAAGCTTTCTAGAACAAGTTGGGTGTTCTCTTCAAGTCAGCATATTTCTCCAAATTTACAGAGGAAGAAAAAGAGCTTAAGGTACTATGAAATACTAACATGAAAATTCTTTTTGTCAATTATATTTCAGTCACAACACAAAATCAGCAAAAATGAAAAGAACGTCCTAAAAACATTCAACCATTGTAATGCTCAAATGCAATGATAAGGATTTATCTGTACTTGTTCTGATAGATCTCTCTGGGACCCATGAAACTATGCACATTGAAAACTGTTAAGTTCCAAGGTCATTTCAGTTCAATCCAGGCCACATAGATTCCAACCTCATCTTTCAGAGAGGCAAAGCTCAGGGAAAGGGTTGTGGTAGAATTGAGAGAAAGTCGCATAAATATGTCCAGGGATGTACTCATCCCTACACTGGCCAAGTTGAATGGTCATTACATAAGCAAATCAAAACTGGGAAGGAATTTTCATTTTTACTTTTCATCACCCTTCTTTTCTCCCTCTTACCCTTTCTCCTCCCTTCTTTTCTTTCAGCCATCAGGATGGTGAAATAAGCCCAAAGCTGAAGTCAGGAGATCTGGCATTCTGTCATTCTTACTCTGTCACTAGCCATTTTGTGACCATTGACATTTACGTGTTTTCTGCCTCAGTATATAGGCTGGGCTAGATTACCGCCAAGGTCTTTTTCAGTTTTAGGATTTTATGCTTCTGCATGTGACTAACCAAAGTAACCAGTGAAGCAACCAGGAGAAAAACAAAAAAGATTGGGGGGAAAGAACTGTGAACTTTATTTTATTTTTTTAACTTTATTTTAAACTAAATTTGAGAATCTTCTTATACATCTGGTGCAAATGACAAGAATCTTTGAAAGTCTGATCCTTGGGGGCAGCTGGGAGTAGAGGTATGGATCTGAGAGTCTACCAATAAGGGTTAATTGACCAGTTAAGTTAGTAGTAAAAAGCAGATGATGAATCAAAATGAGCTATTAACGTTTACATTGAGTCATAATGCTCGTATATTTTCTTGATTTTATTTTCCTGTTGTATTCTGTGGACTATTTAAGAGTGTATTAGTGTTTGCAGAATTCTGTGGTATAAATCCTCCTGCCAGGGGTCTATATGAGCCAGCCTGCTTCTGAGTCACTGTGCAGTGAGTGCAGAATTGGCGAGCATGCTTGCCTTCCTGGCAGCTGCAGGCTTCACTCTTCTTGTGTTCTGCTTCACTCACACTGGAAAATAAAACTGTTTTTTCATGTTTGGCTGTCCAGTGTAAATATAGCAATCTAAAACAGCTGGCCATATTGGTAACACTATTGATCACTATCCCCTTTGGGAACTACTAATTAGAAATAGATTCTACAATCGATTCAACAACTACTCCGTCTGTAGCAAACCTTTGCCAAGCCATGCTCTGCATCAGACATGAGTAATAAGACAAAGAACACAAATGCACAATAAAGGCTGTGGACTTCCAAACTTCAGGATATAAGAAAAAGAAAGCTCTCTCTCTCTCTCTCTCTCTCTCTCTCTCTCTCTCTCTCTCTCCCACAGCCAACAGGTAGGATTTTAGACTACAGTGGTAGAAGTGTCTAGGAGGAATATACATACCTGGAAATCACAAGATCATCCAGAGAGAGGCTGGCAGAACCTGAAGAGGAAAACCACCAAGTCTCATAATATTTGAGAACTTGTCACAGCCTCTTAGCCCAGACTCTAGAAAGTGTTGTTATTGAAGATGTGGTATACTTGAATGTAGTAAAACAGAATGTTTCGTGATGTTTTGGCGAAAAGCTTTGCTTTCTTCTCCAATAATTTATTCTCCTTGCTAAATCAGGCTCCTTTGAGGTCACTAAGAGGTCGTGAAGCAACTATGGATCTGACTAAAGTCATTGCATTGTCCATTAGTCATTGGATACAGTGCTGTAGGATGAGAGAAATATTTGGAAACGGTTCAGGAACACAGATTGAGCCATGTCTACTTAAGTAGATATTTGTAGCTATTATAAAGGGTCTGGTCCTGCATGCATGTCTTTTCTGTATTGCTGAACCAACTGACTGAGAGACACAGTTGTTTCTGGTACAGCAGAGGTTGCCTTTGCCATAAGTGCTCTGGAATGATACAATGGTATCATAGACAGGCCTAGAAGCCACCTCATTCTGTCATGACACCAACTCCACACACAGGAGTGAGAAATGGAAACACAGTAAGATGTTATCATCTGCCCCTACCCCTTTTTGTTACCTTGAAATGCAAAGAAGGACTTGAGATGGACCTTGGTACTCAATACTTTGGTCTTTCTTTCATGTGACTCATAGGCAACTAATTTCATTCGCAATCAACTTGGTCTTGTCATGCTGATGGTTTGAGACCCACCCACTAGCAGTTGGAGAGAATTTTCTTGAAATCACTGAAGCTCCTCTGCCCTAATTAGTAGCAGTAGCTGCTTAGTGGGACTGAACACCGAGGCCAAGGCCAATTTCCCCACCTTCCACCCAGCAAAGGGCAGGATGGCAAGGCTAGCATAAAGGAAAGTGAAAGTCACCTCATAGTTAAGCAGAAAAACCCAGGTGTTGTAGAAATGAAACCTACACAGAAATGCACAGGTATCAGGTGTGATGAAACCCAGGATTTCAGCATAGTAAAATGCCTCACTTTTTTCTTGTAAAAGGAAAACTTTACTTTGAGATTTCTGTTCCCATTATTTGAGCAAAGAGAAAGGACGACTAATAGTGGCTTGGCTTAAAACTTTCTGGCAGGAATAGCTGAGTCATAAAATATAAGCCAAACATCTTTTGGGATAGTCTAATATAAACTTGGTGGGGGAACTAAGTCCTTCATTTCCAGCTGAAAGTCTCTTCTCAGAAGTTACTTCCCCCTCTCCCCACCTTTTGTTTCACAGAGTAACCTGCCTGATTGATGGTACCAAGTTTTGGCTGCATTCTAAGTAATCAATCATCGAACTGTGCTGTTTTGTTGCTCTCATTTCCCCTATTTGAGCAAATCTTGTAATGAATGTGTTTTCAAGACAACAGAAAGAAAATTTGAGTGTTGTGTGGAAGTCATTATTAGACATACTAGAACTAGAGGGAGGGACAAGGGTCTGAGATAATTGAGAACTCAATAATGTCAAAACAACAGTTCCTGTCCCTGGAGTTGGTGTAATGACAGAATGAAGTGGCTTCCAGCCCTGGCTCTGATACCATTGTGTCATTCCAGAGCCCTCATTCAGCTCTTATGGCAGAGGCAAACCCCTGCTCTACCAGAAACAATGTTCAGTACTAGAGACACACTGTGGGGGATAGATAAGGGATCTTTCCTCAAATCATATGACTTCTTTGAATGCTACTACATTAACTTTGCAATGCAAGAAAGGCATTACAAAGTTTCTCAAGGTTCTCTACCTCTGCTTTTTGATTCTTTTCTTTTCTATGGGAGCAAGCTATGCCCAGAACAATAAGAAAAGGCCTATCCAATATTAATGGCTAGACATTGTGCTAACCAAACCACTTCATGACTTCCTTTTGTCTTCTCAAGAATCTCCTGAAAATAGGTGTTACTATACCCATTTTACAGATGAGAAAACTAAGAGTCAGTGAGGTTGAGTTCCCTTTTGTCAAAAGTGAGGAAGAAGCAGAGTTGGACTCAGGCCCAGATCTGCTGAGTCTAGCTGCAACATTTTTTTTTCCTCCCAAGTTGTTCATGTTTTTACATGTACATTCTCCCCTAACCTTCTTTTTCTGGGAATACTTAGGGAAAATTACTATATAATCCATGTATTATGATATAAATGGCTTCATTTTTGCTTTATAGATTTACATTCCTCCTAACCTCCTTCTCTTGTTTTCATGGACATAACTTTGCCATTGGAGCCAAGGCTGGACTTCCATAGCTTAGCCTCCATTGGTGCTTTGATCACCTCTCAGAAAAACTTGACAGAAAACCTTCACAGTCCCATCTAGACTGTTTTGCCTTGCAAGTGGGGTCGCTTGCAGCCTTGCCTGGGATTAACTTTTGTACTCTTCTGGTTTTATTTTCAGACTCTTACTCTAGGATTTAATATTGTTCAGTCCCTAATAGCTATCTAACACAGTAGGCAGAAGTAAAAGTTTTACATGATCATCTCTCAGAGGGGAAGATATAACAGGCATGCATCACAGGAAAGAATTTTGAGCCCAAACTCCATATATCCATCAACAGACAAATGAATAAATAAAATGTAGTATATCTCATGAAAGGATGTTACAAAGAGGAATAAAGCTGTGAAAAGAAAGACCAAAAATATGCAGAATGAAAACAGCCAAGTAGAAAAGGCTAGGTAGAAAAGATTCTGCATAGATAATCCCCAGGGGCAGAAATGGGGTTATTGATGCCAGAGGCTAAGAGGGGGTTATATGGGGCACCTGCTTACTGGATACAGACTTTCCTTTTAGGTTAATAAGAATGTTTGGAACTAAATACAGGTGGTGTTTACCCATTATAATTATAGTTTCATTATAGTTAAATGGCTTATTTAAGTGGTTGATTTTGTATTAAGTGGTTCTCACCTCTTTGAAACATTAATTGTAAAGGATGATATTGACCAAGATGATTTGCACTTATAAACTGATGTGTGAAATACTAGCCTCTTTGTACAACTACTTAAAGATAATTAAAAAATGTTAAAGAAAATATCAAGACTGAATTTCTCCCCGTTATGGTTTCTGTTTTAGTATACAGCAACAAAAATCACAGCATACCTTTGATTATTACTACCTTGGGATTTTAGTAGAAGTCATACTACTGGATTCTCTCATGATTTTTTTACCTACTCTGTATGATTCAGATTTCAGTACAAGGCTTCAGGAACATTGCAGATAGCTGCAGTGGAATTATGCACCTGACCATCAATGACATGCCAACCCTGACAGACAGCTGTGTGAAAGTAGGTAGTAAGAAAGTAGGTTTATCTCCAGTTCCTTTACGTGCTCTAGTATTCTAATGGCTTGAGTTATCAAAAATATAAATTGCCTTTTCATTTTAATTTATTAATAATAAGAAAATCACTTCAAATGTACACCCATCTACATGCACGTACCACCAAAAATCACTGAATATTGAGTTTTAAAAGACTTTTTCTCACAGTTAAGACATTATTGCTCCAATAATGTTATAGCCTAACTACAACTGTAAATTGAATTCTCCCATCCAAGTTATAGCCAGGCCCAAACCTGCTTAGCTTTTAAATTTCACTCTCTTACACTTAATTCTCTGTCAGGCTGCCAAATGTCTGGACTTTTTTCTACATTCCATTTTCTCATGTTTTCCCATACTCTTGTAACATGTTTTAATTCTCATTCCTCTGCCTTACTCAAATGTGAACATATTAAAATATATTGGAAAAATCCCACTTCCTTTGAAATAAAGAAAATTTAGTAGTGTGTCAGTTTCTGAAAATATTTAAACTCATGACCTCATTCCTGTGCTATGTTTATTCTATACACTGTGCTTAATTTTCTCCTCCTTGTTTTCTTCTAAAGGTTTTGGTTGAGAAGTGCTTGAATATCACATCAGTGGTTTTCATTGGGTCACCACATATTTCTGATGGTACCTTCAAAGCTCTTTCGGCTTGCAGTCTCAGAAAGATCCGGTTTGAAGGTTTGTGATGCTAGACAATGTGGCCCAGTCTTAAGTCTCTACTTTTACTTTGGGGAAATTATAAAGAGAGTGATTGTCTTTTTTTAAAAAAAAGGAAACAAAAGGATTACTGATGCATGCTTCAAATATATAGACAAGAGTTATCCCAATATCACTCACATTTACATGGTGGACTGCAAGGGAATAACGGACGGTGGCCTCAAATTACTGTCACCTCTGAAGCAGCTGACTGTGTTAAACCTGGCAAATTGTGCAAGGTAAGAAGTCACTCAGTTATATGTTCAACAAATATCAATTGTCTAGGACATGCCAGGCCTTCTCATCAGGGTTAGTGTAGCAAATGTGCAAATCAGGGCCTGTGATTAATAGAGAGGTAAGTCGAGTCTAGTGATGACATGGAGGTGCAGCTAACACAGACTGAGTATATAGGTACTCAAGGAACTTGTTAGGAATAGCTCAAGGTATGAGAAGCCACCCTTGTAAGACTAAGTAAACTTTCTGGCTACCTTTTGTAGCAAGCATTCCCATGGCTAGTTTGGTTAACCGATTCATTCCCCACAAGGAATGACTCTCTGACTTGCTTATGAGGAACCAGTCTAACTATAGGCTACAGTTTTGATATTGGTGTTGTCAAGTGTGCAAGGATCAAGTTCTTGGTAAAATCTTTTCAGTGGATATCTCAGCCCCTTACTTATAGAGGCATCTTATAATCTTATAGGGGCAGGTAACAACAGAGCAGCACTTGTTCTACAGTGACATTGGCTAGCATTTGGAAGCATCTAAGACAAACTAGTGTAATAAGCTAAGCTATGTCCTCACTCATATTCCCTATTATAAAAACCATGAGGAAGCTTGGGTTGACAGAAGGTTGGGGAAGACATAAGGCTTTGGAATAGGAAAAAAACCTGGATTAGAAAATAAGGCCTCCAACCAATAGCCATGGAGAAACCAACCTCTTGCTAAGAGCAATAGGTTTGAGTCAAGCCCCTTGGTGACTGAATCTACAGCTGGCCTCTTTCCTATAAACTTAGGCGAAGCTCTGAACTATAACCACACAAGTAGTTCACATCCAATTTTTGGACTCAGGACCTGGGAGGCACAGGAATAAATACAGAAAGTTTGGGTCGGTGTTTAACACAGATGAATAATAGATACATACACACATACATACATTCATACATACATGCATGCATGCATACCATATGAATGCATATCTCTATTAGACAGCTAATCCTGTCTGTATAAATATGTGAAGGAAATTGGATTTTTACCCTCTCATTTCATTAAGTGTTCTGCAAAATGATTAACATTAAGTGGAAGTTTTCTGCTTCCAAAAGACTTGACAAAATACTTCAAAGAATTCTGCCATAAATAATATCCTTGAGGAATACATACTTTTTAATATATTGCTGATCCCACAGAGTAAGAGAAATACATAACAGCCTCAAGTCCCCTGGCTCCACACTACCCCTCTCAGTGAATAGGCTCCCTGAGATGAATCATGTGTAGCAAGCAATGAAAGGCTGACCTGCTCTGAGCATAAGTGTTCATGAAAACTTGGCCATAAGGGCATCAGCTTTGAGCAACATTCAAAGCAGAGATGCAGAACCTGAGACTTCTACAGGTCTGGACTTCCTCAGGTTGAAGAAAGTCTCAGGTGGGCAGCATCCAGGCTCCTAGAATAAGTTAGTCCATTGCTCCTCTGAGTAGCCATCAAGACCAAGTAAATACATGATCAGAACCAAAGATTGCCAGCTGCACCAAGATATGAGTCACCATGAGAGTCATCAGAACCAGCAAAACAAATCCGTATGAGAATTATTAGAGTGGTAAGTCACTATGTGTGAAATATTTGCAGAAACAAATGATGGAATTATGAGTATGAGAAAGCAAAGTGATAAAAATAGATTTGAGAAAGCCTTTCAAAAATAAAGATATAATATTCATATAAAAATAAACAGATTGCTAGCACCCATATTAGAATTCACAGAGGGGAGTAGTCAGTGTGATAGGAGAGAGCTGAATAAATGACAGCAGAGGAAAAAGAAAATGAAAATATGCAACAGTGAAAAGACAATAACTTGTTCTCACAGTATTTTTTATGCAATATAAAAGTGGCATTTGAAAAAGTGGCATTTTATTTTAAATATCATTTTTTACAGATTACTTATAGTTTGGATTTTGTTTACAAAGCCATTTAGAGAATATTTATTTTAATGAATAATATTTTTCATTTATTTCTAACTTACAATTATTATAAAACTTACATATTTGTTGTTATTACAAAGGTGATATATTTAATCTTTGATTCATCTTTGCATTTCATTTTTACTTAGATTTGTAATTTTTACTTTTTTCTTTTTAATTTATAAATTGTTTTTTATTTGATGGATTTTTATTGATGATTTGTTTTTATTTGTCTAGTATTTTCTCAGGAAGCTTTAATATCTTATTTATTTTAAAGTGTTCATCCTTATCTTCAGCATTTGAAAAGAACTTTTTAAATATTCCCTCTATTTTCTAATTTTCTAAATGGTCATTTTTGGCTTAGATACCTTAGATTATTATTACTTAAATTTTAGTTTGTCACTTGTTCTTACCATAAATGAACACTATGTTTTTATTTTAGCCAGTTCACTCCATATTAACTACTATTCTTCAAAATCTAATATTTTAAAATTCTTTTCCAGAGGCATGTTTTCTTAGCCTGAAAAATCCCATGTTGTGTTTTGTTTTCTTGTTAGTGAAAGCATCTCCCGGTGGATTACTCCAACCCCAGTGTTTGCCATTAGAAAAGTTTGATTGGTTGTGTTTGCTCTTCCTTCTTCTTAGGTACTCTTTCCCCACTTCTACCTAGCTTGATGTGCTTACCCAGATGTTGCACATCTGCCTTTCATATTACAGGTGGAGAGTGGAGTGTTGGGCACAGCATATTTATTAATATAGACTGGTCAGCTGACCAGGGCATCACCTTTTGGCTCTATTACTCTGTTCATGGTCAGTTTGACCAAATGGAGGATATAGAACCTGTCAGCAATCAACCTGTGCTGTTCTCAGTGTTTTTCCTGTGTATATCTACCTGTAGGCTTGTTTTGTGTGAAAATACTTTAGGTTTGATTGTATTGATGTATTTACCTGCCTTGCTTTATTTGCTAAAATGCTTTTTAGAAGGAATTGGTAGTCTCCAAATGGAATTAGAAAGGGAGCTGGTAGGCCAAACAAATCTTCAGACATTTATAAAGCAGGACAGATACCAGGTGCTGACACCAGGAAGGAGTTTGTAATTAGGACAGTATGGGTAAGTTAGGTCAGGGTCTTCTACCATCAGGTTTTCTCTGATTCAGAAGGAAAGGATCTGTATTTCACCTGTTGGGTTTCCATCACCTGAATTGACCTTGTGCAAATCCCTCCAAGATTCAAACAGTAGTTTGTAAATCTTAGTCTCCCTCTCATGAGTTTTTTTTTCTAGAGATTATATTAGAGATTGCTTAATCTGTTCTCATTTTAACCTGGGAGAAAGAGACTCTCTTGTGTTGTTAATAATTATGCTACTCAATTAAATAATCAAGTGAAGAATATTTTAAATACCTCTCCCATTATTATCACCTGTGCAAAATCAAATTTGGTTTTAAAATGTTGACAATCTTAGTATAATAACATGACTTACTGTTTCAAAAATGGATATTAAAAACTGTTAGGATAATACCATTATATGTAAAATAATATATGAAGCTTTTCTTACTGTCTCTTACAGGATTGGTGATATGGGACTAAAGCAGTTTCTTGAGGGCCCTTCCAGCACAAAAATAAGAGAGCTCAACTTAAGTAACTGTGTGCTCCTGGGTGATTCCTCTATTGTGCAACTGGCAGAGCGGTATGGGAAACCAATATTCTACATCAGAGAACTCTATGTGCTACATTAGCAATTGCATAATGGCCAATAGGAAGGATCAGAGACAGACCTAAAAACCTTGACTCTAAGCCCTTTGGAGAACATCAATTCAATCCTCAGTGAAATCAAATCAAAGACATTGAAGTCACACATTAAAGTAGTATCTTGATGACATCTGAGCTGTTTCTCATCACTGTTACCTAGGAAGCATTTGAAACAGAGCCACTCACGAAGTGATGACTATTTGAACAGTGACTTGCTGTACTTTACAAAGACATTGCCTCTATGGGAACCTTTACTCCATATTTCACAAGGGGTTTTGTAGCTGGGTTGTTTATTCTTGCCAGAGGCCTCGTGTTCACTAAAGGTCAAATCCAATTCCTGCAGCAAGCTTAGGAGTTCTGTGACTTGTCATTGTGGCATTTCCATAATGTTGTCCATACCTGTGATTTTTTTTTTGCTTTTAGAAATGAAATATGAAACTAAGTTAAAGAAAGTCTTGCATATTAATCTACCTGCATTTCATTCAACTTTATAATGCCAAGTTACTTTCCACTTTTAGGCTTACATTTATGTTGAGAAAAAGAAAAACCTATCTTCAATAATATTTACACAAAGAAATAGATATCAATGATTGTATTGAAAGCTGAACTTAATTCTTTATGTCTTTTCCTTTTAGCTGCACTAATTTAAACTACTTGAGTTTAAGAAATTGTGGCCATTTGACTGATCAAGGACTTGAGTATATTGTAAACATCTTTTCTTTGGTATCGGTAGATATCTCTGGAACAGTCATCTGTAATGAGGTAAAAAAATATTCAGAACAGTTTATTATTTTCTGTAAAGCAATAATTTTCTGGTTTATAAACAATGGAAAGAACAACAACTAGCTTTATTTATTTAATAAATTATAAACAGCAGATTTAGGATCATTGCTTCTAGAATACAGATAGATGAGGTTATGGTAAATCGTTATGTTTCTCAGTTTAAAAAAAATCTCAAAATCCAATAATTTGAGGAAAGTACTGACAAAGTCATGCAAAATAACCTGAAATTTGTTTTATCAAAGATGTTTGGTAGACATGAAGATCATATACTTTAGATGGCTTAAGTGTATATTTCTTGTGGATTGCACAGTCTATAAACCATCTAAAAACCTTGAGATGTAAGTCTTTACTTCAAGACTGAAGTCTAGAAATAGCCCCTTTAAGCCCTTTACTTATTCATTAATTCATTCATTGTTTTAATATATATCTATTTATTGTGTTGGTCATGAGGCTTGACCTTGGGGCCTGGGTGCTATCTCTGAGCTCTTTTGCTCAAGGCTAGCATTCCACCACTTTGGTTTTCTAGTTGTTAATTGGAGATAAAGCATTTCACAGACTTTCTTGTCTGTGCTTGCTTTGAACAGCGAGCATTAGATCTTAGCCTCCTGAATTGCTAGAGTTACAGGCATGAGCCACCAGCACCCAGATCATTATTCTTCTTATTCTTCTTCCTCCTCCTCCTCTTCCTCCTCTTCTTCCTTCTCTTCCTCCTCTTCTTCCTCCTCTTCTTCCTCTTCTTCTCTTCCTCCTCTTCCTCCTCTTCCTCCTCCTCTTTTTTCCCCTCCTCCTTCTCTTCCTCGTCGTCATCGTTGTCATCATCATCATCATCATCATCTTCTTCTTGAAATTAACTATTACTACTCTTAAAGTGGAGCCTCTACCATCCTACCTTGGTATCACTGTCTCATTTGCTAATCTAATAGAAGCTAAGACCTAAGTGGTCAGCCATGTTTCTGAATCACTTTGGTAGGCTTTAGTTAAATAAGAAATGTACAGACTCCTCCTGAAGACAGTTCAGTAGGAGAGACATAGGAAGACAAGAGGAAAGACTCCTTTGCCTTTGTCTTACTAAATCTTTATTCATCTCTGAATGATACCAGTTATCACTTGTTTGGGAGACCTTCTCTAAGAACCCTACCTTGCAGGTAAGTATTGGAACTTCTCTGTGTGAATCTCTGTGAGCAACTTTAAACATGATCTATTATGTTTCTTTACATGATGGACCTCTATGTTTTGTGTCCATCCTTCCCCAACAGTCAGAGGGCTCTTTAAGATGACAGGTGTGTCTGTTCATTGGTTTAGATTCTTTCCTTTCTTTACCCATGAGTGCACTTGGATTCAGCTCCCATTCGTCTACTAGAGGGTCTCTTCTCTGATGGTCTTTTCTTTGAACTGCTATTCAAGCATAATATGAAGCAGTTACATGGAACAGCTCATCATGTGGGGGTTCACATCTGTTCCCCTCATGCTGTTTTCAGTCTAATGCTGGAATTCACTGAGTTGTCAGAGGACCTGTGGTCTTTAGTTTCTGGCCTACAAGATCCCTGATGTGTCTTCATCCCAACTTCAAGGTCCTTTCAAGTGTTCAGGCTTCCTTAGCATGTTGGCCTAGCTTTGGACCTCTCAGGTCATGCTAGAATGTGGTGATCCTGTGAGGCCATCTTAGTCCATTGCCGCAGACCACCCTCGCAAACATTCTGTTCCCACATCTGTGTTGGCCCACTGACTCAGGCCTCGGCCTCTCCTTACTCTGCTGCACTGTGGCTAACTCATGTCAGCCAGATTTCAAGCTGAGGTTGGTATCTGTGACACATTTGTGAGTGAGCAGAGTCCCCAGAAAGAAGGGGCCAGAGAGTTCTTCCCTCTTTCTTTACATCATCACCATTCCCCAAATTTCCTTTTCTTTGAACAGATTAGTTGTAGTTTTAGCTTTCCTTAGTGATCTTGGCTCTGGTTTTAATAATACCACCTCTTTCCCTTATCCTTCTAGTTTAGTGTCTTCTTACTGTGTCATTTGGCTTTTCAGTTTATCTTTCTCCTATGTAGATGATTCTGTTAAAATTAAATTTCCTCAGTGCTGAGTACTGAATTGTTTCTGTTTCCCTCATTAAATTTTAACAATAAAATTATGATCACAGAAAAACTCTGCTTTTTTTTCCCCACAATCCTACCAGGCAAAAGTGGAATGAATTCCCATTTATTTCTAGGTCCTCAAACCTGTCTGGAGGTTCCAAATTCCTTTCCAGCTGAACAGATCTGAGCAGGACCCTCTGGGGGGAATCCCTCAGCATCTCATTCTTTAGTTTTCCTCTGGCTCTCCCTTCCCCTCAGCTCCTTTCTTTCCCCTTCTTGCTCCTTTCTTGATTCTGTCTCCTCCCTTTCCCTCTCCTCTTTTTTTAACCTGTTTCCTCCACCCTCTCTTCTTATCTTTGCTCTTCTCCTTTTCTCTTGACATATATTCTAGCTTTATAGTTGTTAAAAATGTTATGCCCTAAGTCTGTCACAACTTAGACTTTTAAAGCTTAAAGGCATGTGATTTTTTTCTCCTGTTTTCCTGTAAGAACTCTCCTTGCATCATGTGAGTACTCTGTTGTCACTGGAAGGTCACAGCATAACAAGAAGGAGAGGATCAAAGCACATAATAAACTTCAGAATTAAATTGCACCACTATACTATCTCAAGCCTGAAGTGTCTGGTGAATGTCTGCTGAACGGATGGAGTGGGGACTAAATGTTACAGCTTTGTTTTTATAGTATTTGGTGAAAAACAATTCTTTTATTTCCAAAAACCATTTGCTAAAATTTTACCGACTGAGGGAAAATTAAAAATTAAGAATAGAATTTCAAGTTCCACTCTCTATTTTTATTTTCTTCTGAAGAGCACATATTTAAGAGAGCTGTGAATAGATCCTCATGGTTTAAAAACTAGTTGTTTTCTGCTAAATGATTGAAAGTAAATCTTGAGAAGGGGATTGTTTTCTTCCTGTGAGTCAGTTCAGTCTTCTCTAAAAGGCAAGTGATTGACAGTGACAGTGCCACAGCCGCTGTGGGACTTAACCTCAAACAGTCAAATGAAAATGAGTCACCCAGATGTCAGCTGGGGCAACTGAACACCCTTGGTGGACTATAGGTCTGATGAAGTGTGAGTCTGACTGCAGATTGAACATTTAGAACCCTAGCTTGGAGGGACATCGCACATATACTCCAGAGATCAAATTGATCCAGTCATACCTTTATGGGGGAAATTTTCTTGTTTTCTGATTGTAGTCTCAGTTCATCTGAGTGAGTGTTTTGTTTTGTTTTGTTTTGTTTTTTTGGGTCCAGTCGTGGGGCCTGAACTCTGGACCTGGGCACTGTCCCTCAGCTCTTCAGCTCAAGGCTAGCGCTCTACCACTTGAGCCACAGCGCCACTTCCGGCTTTTTTCTTTTTGCTTATGTGGTATTGAGGACTCGAACCCAGGGCCTCATGCATGCAAGGCAAATACTCTACCACTGAGCCACCTTCCCAGCCCCTGAGTGAGTTTTTGGTTAGAATTGCACTACTCACTTAGCTTACAGTTACATATTCCAACTGTGTGCCTGAATGAACAGGAAAAAATATGGCACCTCATTCTGGCATTGGTATTATGGTGGGCAAATGTTTGCAAAGCACCATCTGCATGGGGAAGCAAAGAGGGTCAAGTAAAGTCTTATTTTCCGAGAGAAGGAGAGGGGAGTGTGAGCCTGAGAAGAAATGACCTGCACAGAGGCATGGAGTCTAAACATGCAGTGGCTTCAAGAAATCCACTTAGTTGGGGTAGCTTAATCTTCAGGAAAGTGTAAGAAATAATATTGAAAGGCTGACAAAGGCTAGGTGTCCTTAAAATCTTGGGTGGGGGCAGAGGGGACATTGGGGTTTGAACTTAGGGCTATATGCTTGTTAGGCACACACTACCAATTGAGACAAACTGCCAGACCTTTTGCTTTAAGTTATTTTTAAATATAGTCTCACGCTTTTTGCCCAGGCTGGGTTCAGGCTGTAAGACTGCCTCCATATAGCTAGGATTTTGGTTGCATTCTACCATACCCAGCTTCTTTATTGACATGGGGTCTTGCTAACTTATTGCCTGGGCTGGCCTAGAGCTATGGTCTTCCAAATCTACACCTCCTAAGTAGCATGAGCTGGCTACTGCACTGTCTAGCCTGAGTTAAGACTCCAGTACCAGCAAAATAAACAAAAGATAATTTATCAAAAATCCTGTAATTAAATCAGGTATTAGGGGCTGGGAAGGTGGCTCAGTGGTAGAGCGCTTGCCTTGCATGCATGAGCATGAGGCCCTGGGTTCGTTTCCTCAGCACCACATAAGCAAAAAAAAAAAAAGCCGGAAGTGGCGCTGTGGCTTAAGTGGTAGAGCGCTAACCTTGAGCTGAAGAGCTGAGGGACAGCACCCAGGCCCAGAGTTCAGGCCCCACGACTGGACCCCACCCCCCAAACAATTAGGTATTATTCCTTCCTTTTCTACACCAGTGACTATTTGATATGGTATTGTATCTGAATGTATAGAGGAAACTGTATTCTATTAGTAAAGAGAATTATAATTTACTAAAGACCACACTACCCACAATCAGCACAGCTCAATCCCCTTTTTTCAGTTGCCTTGGTCACTACCATATTTGTTATTTAAAGGAAAAATGAGTCAGTAATGTTCCAGACGGTGTGCTTAGACAGTGGTTTAGGAAGACTCTCATTTGCCCACATTTCAACCATTTTCCTGATTGTACTAGATTGTGAGTAGCTATTATGTAGGCCAATGGAGTGACATCCCCCACTTAGAACATGAAGTCCACAGAGACCAAGACTTTGTTCTGCTTACTGCTGTTTCCCAGAACCCTGGCAAGTGGTGAACACAACACTCCTTGAGTGAAGGAACAAGTGCTGGACTAGACAATGACCAACCACATGAATCAGATCTGTTCTCTGCATTCTGATTTGGAAGGACA